ATGAGATTAAAATTTGCAATATGAACTTGTTTTTGCTGTGATCACTCAAGAATTGAGATGATTTTTTTCCCCAAGTTACAGTGGATGGCAGTCAAGGTCTAACTCAGAATTGCTCTTTTCATACAGAAAAGCTACCATTTTCATAAATAATTATGACTAAAAACATAAACTATGAAAACCTAGTTACATGTACAATCTCTCCTAGCTAATTGTGAATCCAGATTTTTAATAATTAATAGATTGAAAATGAAGTATTTCCACTTCTTTGGTTTTACAGAGATACTTTTTGAAGTGTGGGTAATATGTTTCAAATAAAGTTTTTATTTATTTATTTTTTTGGTTGGTCATGGGGCTTGAACTCTGGGCCTGGGTGCTGTCTCTCAGCTCCTCAGCTCAAGGCTAGCACTCTACCACTTGAGCCAAAATGCCACTTCCTGTTTTCTGGTGGTTTATTGGAGATAAGGGAAGGGGTAAAAATGCTGGACAAGAAATGTACTCAGTACCTTATTCATGTAACTGTAACCCCTCTGTACAGCATCTTTACAATAAAATAAAAAGGAATCACATGGGTTTTCCTGCCTGGGCTGGTTTTGAACCATGATCCTCAGATCTCAGCTTCCTGAGTAGCTAAGATTACAAGCAAGAGCCACTGGTGCCTGGAGCCAAATAAAGTTTTTCTGGGTTGGGAAGGTGGCTCAGTGGTAGAACTCTTGCCTTGCATGCATGAGTTCAAGCCCTACAACCAACAACAACAACAACAAAAAAGGAAACTGTTCAATGTGTTTGTTAGGATTACTAGGGTTTGCAAAAGGCAAAAATCTTGATTTAAATTGATGGGAATTAAATATAGTATATATATATATATATATATATATATATATATATATATATATATATATATATTATAAGCAGTTACTAGTAGCTCCTGCTTGTAATCCTAGCTACTGAAAAAAGTCAGAAGTAGAGCTGTAGCTTTAATGGTAGAGTGTTAGCCTTGAGTAAAAACAGCAAGCTCTGGGAAAGTGCCAGCCCCATTGTCAGGCCCTAGGACTGGCACAAAAATATGTGTTATAATTGGGGGTGAGGGGGTTGCTTTATAAAAGCCAAAGTTGGAGATGGTAGTTCACAAGTGTAATCCCCTACTCAGGAGGCCATGACAAGAGGATTATTTTTTGAGGCTGAATTAGGCCAAAGCATGAGACCTTATATGAAAATCAAAGTAAATTTAAAAGGAATGGGGAAGTATTTTCTAGGAAGAATACTTGCCTAGCAAGCATAATAAAAGTTACCACCAATAAAACAAAAATAACAATTATAATTAAAAACTCTTTACAATTTTAGTACTTCTATTCTGTTACCTACTGACACTTTTTCTTCTTATGACTTACTTTTTATACACATACACACGCATACACACAAACGCACGCGCACACACAAACGCACACACAAGCACACACGTATCATCTTCTCTTTAGTTTAGCAATGCCTCAACAATTTGCATTATTTTGCTCTCTGAGGCCTGGGCCAGGAGCAATTCGAATACAATCAGTTGTTGCTTTATATATTTCTGTACTGTTTCTATAGGTTTGTTTTGTTGTGCTTTGAGATAGGAATTCACACAGGGCGCCAGTGTAATCCTGTAATCCTAGATACTCAGGAGGCTGAGTAGCCTGAGCCCGGGCAGGAAACTCTGTGAGACTCTTATCTCCAAAAAACCACCAGAAAACCGGAAGTGGCGCTGTGGCTCAAGTGGTAGAATGCTCGCATTGAGCTGAAGAGCTCAGGAACAACACTCAGGCGCAGAGTTCAAGACCCAAAACTGAAAAAAAAAAAAAAAGAGAGAGAGAGAGAGATAGGAGTTCACTATGTTGCCCAAACTCATTAATTAACCTGAAACTCATTAATTAACCCAGGTTGGCCTCAGATTCGCAATCCCCCAATCTTCGCTGGAGACTTCCAGAGTGTTGGGATTGATGATGTATGCCACCATGCTCAACTGTTTGTTGTTGTTGTTGTTGTTGTTTAACCACAACATATATAATATTATGTATATAACTGGCATTTTTCTTATTTGAGAATTTTCAAACATCTGCTATCATCACACACTTTGAGGTCAAATATCTCCCGTTGCTATCTGTAAATGTTTTGTATGATTGTTATTGGTTGTCCTAGAAATTAGCTTTTAATAAAGCATTTATTAAATACTGTTCATATATTTTAGAATTCATATCCTTATGACCCTAATACATAAAATCAATACTTCTATCAAATCAAGCCTCTAATAGGGCTGTATTTTTGACATACAAAAAATTTCTTGTTCAGGATTCTAATGTCTCATGCTTATAAACCTAGCTACCCATGAAGCTGAGCTCTGAGAATCTTGATTCGGTCACTACAGGAAAATAAATATTCTAGATTTTTATATACAATTAACTATCAAAAAAAATAAATAAACATCTCCCCCCTCAAAAAAACTGGAAGTAAAGGTATGTTTCAAGTGATAGAATGCCAGCCATGAGAAAAGAAACAAAGTTAGAACTTGAGGATCTGAGGTTAAGTCATAGTATCTACACATGCATACATGCATGTGCCTTCACACACAGAGATTTCTCTTGTGGTGTGAACTCTGACCTCTTGCTAAGCTGATGTTCTATTGCTTAAGACACACCCCGCATCTATGCCTTTTGTTGGTATTTTAAAGATGGAGTAGTGAAATTTTCTTCCCAAACTAACCTAAACTGCATCCCACACAGCTAGGATTATAGAAGTGATCACTGTTGCCTAGCTTTTCATTCTCTACTTTTCATTTTTGAAATTTTAGCAAGAAATTATTTTAGTATCACATGAAAAAAAAGAGTGAGAAAGAGGAAAAAAGGCAGAGAAACATTCTCTATTCCCCAGAGTGGACATTTTTAATAGTGCTAGTTCTTGCTTGCAAATTACTTCATCTTTGCTCTACTATTTTAGCTTCTGCAATTGATTTTAAACTGATGCATCCTGAAGGATTTAGCAAATGCAAACTGACACATTCCTTAAAAATACTATCGTCAATGAACGGTCACAAAAGAAAATTCTCTGAAACAGCCATTGATTTGGGTCTGAGAAAGACAAAGTGCAGAGCATGACCTAGATTTAACACTCTCCAAGAGTCAGGCAGAAAGTACTAAGGAAAGCTGTCCATGAGCTCCTAGCAGAGTGTGCCATTTTAGGATATTCTCATCTAAAGAAATGTGCTTTCCTTGTAGTATAGTGAATGCATGAAAACTTTGGAATGAAATAATTAATGTTCCCATTCTTTGATGGAAATCCTACCTTCTCCTCGTAGCCATTTATGTCTGTGCTATTCATCAATTTGTACAAATGTTTCTGATGCATTTATGTTCCCCAGGCTTTTGGGTAACACATGCTATATAACAATTAACTGTTACTTGGATTCATACATAGTTCCTATTAATTATTTATCCTCGTTAAGCTTAAAGAAGCCTCATTATTTCAAAGTTTCCAAAATTAGTTCCCAGCCTCCGATTTACTCTATCCACAGTATTCACCAGCTATAAATTCTGATTCTGACTCTTTCATCCTCCTATTATCAGTGGATCCAGCTTGTAGTATAAAGCATTTCCTTTACTCAGGAGGTCAAATCTGAAGATCAAAATGCCCAGGCAGGAAAGTCTTTGAGACTCTTTTCTCAAATTTACCACTAAAAAGTGGCAGAAATGGAATTATGGCTCAGATGCTAGAGCCTTGAATAAAAACAAAACAAAACAAGCAACTGAGTTCAAGCCCCAGTACTGGTATAAAAGTAAATTAATTAATTAATAATAGACTAACCAATACCTATATATATGCATCCTGTGTGTGTATATTGTCTACCTATACTATATATTTAGTATATTTATATGTGTATATATACATACATATATATTGCATGTCTGTCTCTATGTATCTATAATATACAACATATGAAAATTCAGGTTTGTGTAAATTGCACTTCACAATGCTCCAACAACAGTGAATGACACAGATGTTAAAACCCAGTCCCAGTGTACCATTGTTCCATTTAACCTCTGTGTGTGTGTGTGTGTGTGTGTGTGTGTGTGTGCGTGTGATGATTTTATCATTTCCCTTCTAGGTTCCTTGCTTTTCAATGTTTTAAATTGGTTTCTGCAGATGCTCTGTCTGACCTTTTTCTTTGGGTGGCATTTCTGGTTTAGTTATTTCCTACATTGATTTTTTTAATTTCCAATTCCTAGAATTCTCTAGAGATGGAGAAGTACCCTCGAAAGGTGAAAGGAAAAGGATTTCCACTTTAATTGCACCTTCAGTAGTGCTGACTATTTGAGGCAATAAAAGGCTCAAATAGATTTCATTTTTCAAAGCATTTGAGGAGCATATTGATCTTTCCAGCCCACTGGACAGCTAGCTTGAAAGAAGAGAAAATTCAACATGATTTGTCTGATCAACTCTTTTTATCTGGAATGATGGAAACAGGGCTTTGGCAAAATCCTCCTCTTTCAGATCCTTCTATGGAAAGATGGTCCATGCCCAAGATATAGCTGTAATTATTTATTCATTCTGTTCTGCTCTTGAGAGAGAAATGCAGGGGTTGAGAAGGTGCCTTAGGGGTAGAGTGCTTGCCTAGCTAGCCCTGGGTTCAAGTCTAGAAAATAAAGATCCACATGCTCCTGTGGCTCTTAGAGGTGGAAGCTGTTCAGTCTGTAGAAGGTATTTAAAATGATCAACAGGTCTCTGTAAAATTTTATTCTTACCATAGAGGAAAATACCACCGTCACTGTGAAAAACTTTTGACATCCATGTTCTGCCATAAAGTACTAAGCATGACACATTCCTTTTGTCAAATACTCATTTTGTTGCTATGCACCAAAATCTACACCTGTAATTCTCACTACTCAGGAAGAGCATGTGGATCTTTATTTTCTATAGTGACATTAATGAAAATTGACTTCATTGTTTTATCATCTTCAAGAACATATATGTTTGTGCTTGCTTTGGCAGTACATATACTAAAATTGGAATGACACAGAGAAGATCAGCATGGCCCCTGTGCAAGCATGACATTCAAATTCATGAAGTAATCCATATTTGGGGGATGACATTGATCAAGATGCATTGTGTTCATGAACTGCCTTGTTCAATGGCAACTCCTTTGTACAACTACTCTAAAGATAATTTTTAAAAAATCTCCAAAAAAAGAGAACATATACTCTTTAAACTCCATCATTACCATTTTAATGCCTTCATGAATACAACTTGAAGAAGTAGGAGTTGATTGTCTCATCCCCATCACCGTTCACAGATCTCAGGTCTGTTATTTATTGGATGACTACAGAAACACAGGAACATGGAACCATTCTGAGTCTTTGCACTCCTGTACAGGTGAGAATGGTACTACCTTTATGGGGTGCGTGTGCTGTGCTGTGTGTGTGTGTGTGTGTGTGTGTGTGTGTGTGTGTGTGTGTGTGTACATGTACTGGCAAAATGCCAGTGATTCCAGAATAATACTTTTCCAAGAACTGGCCACTCTGCATCTAGCTGTACCAATGGAAAGTGGTGCTATGACTTTCTTTTCTCCTGATGATGACACAGTCTGAATATTGTCCATGTGAATGTCCTCTTTCTTCTGTTTTTTGTTTGTTTGTGTTTCAGGAGAATAAACATTGTTTTCATTATATTTATACCTGAGTGTTCTGAGAAACCTAAATATAGTTTCTCAATGGAGAGATCACATGATCCTAGGACTCCTTTCCACAATGCCTGGAGTCAGCACAGGAAGACACACCCCACTTCCGTAGTAAGGAGCCCATAAATGGTCAAGACCCAGGTAGTAACTGCCACCTCTCCTAATTCTGATCTTATTTCCAACCCAGAGTCAGCTCATTGTGCATCCCAAACCAGGAATAGGAAATGTCAAATTGCAATCAGAGAACCCTCTCTCAGACCCTTCCCCTGTTTTTTCCCTTTTTCTCCTATGAAGGTTTCCTACTTTTCTGCTTGTCTTTGAGTCTTGGCCAAACACAAGTGATAGTGGGTGACTGTTCCTACAGCAACATCCAAATGCAGACCATTTGTTACTATTCACTTTCCTGCCTTTCCATTCACTCCATACTTTTAAACATTCATTTACTCATTTACATATATATACACACAATTTAAACTCATTTACATATGTAAACTTTTTAAAATACTTTTTTATTGGAAAAATACTGTACAGAGGGGTTACAGTTACATGAGCAAGGTAATGAGTACATTTCCTATCAAGCATTGTTACATCCTCCTTTGTTTTCCCCCTACTCTCCCTTCCCTCCCATCTCCACAGCTACAGTCCCCCTCCTCCCCTCTCTCCCCCTCTCCCCGCCTAAATTGTAAAGTTCATTTTTCAACATAGTGTCTTGTACATCTCATTGTTACAATGGGTCAACTGGTATCCCTATTTAAGCATTTTGTGGTTTCCTTTCCCCTCCCCAAGCTAGAGAAGTATATATACAAGATGCAGAACACCGATATCAAATACAGTGCAAACAGGGGTTATGTCATGGGGGAGGAACATACAAAGAAACAAAAAAAATCACATGGTACATTATAAATACTTTAGGAACAATAACAAGAAAGGAAAAAACCACTTGTGTCCCTACTTGGGGTTCATTTCACTTAACATCATCTTACCTGGTCATATGTACATAGCTTTTGACCTTTTCTGCTTGTCCCAGACATATACTAGTTATTGCAAATAAGGGAAACCATGGGACCTATGTTTCTTTGGGCCTGGCTTACTTCACTTAATATAATTTTTTCAAGTCTTTCCATTTTCTAAAAATGGTGTGGTCATTCTTTCTGATGGAGGCACAGAATTCCATTGTGTGTGTTTATGTGTGTGTGTGTATGTTTGTGTGTGTATATATATATACATAAATGTGTATATATACATATGTATATATGTATATGTATATACATATATACATGTATATACATATATATACACACATGGTGGAATTCTATACACACACATATATATACACACACATAAATACATACACACACACACACACACACATATATATATATATCACATTTTCTTGATTCATTCATCTACTGAGGGGCATCTGGGTTGGTTCCATATCTTAGCTATGGTAAATAATGTTGGAATAAATACAGTTGTGCTGGTAGTTTTAGTATGGTCTTGTTTGTGATCATTCAGGTAAATGCCCAAAAGTGGGATTGCTGGGTCATAGGGGAGCTCTATGTGGAATCTTCTGAGGAGCCTCCATACTACTTTCCAAAGTAGTTGAACAAGTTTACACTCCCACCAACAATGCAGTAGGGTTCCCTTCTGGCCACATCCCCTCCAGCATCTGTTGTTATTAGATTTCATTTTTATTATTAATACGTTTTTTATTGTAAAAATACGGTACAGAGGGATTACAATTACATGAACAAGGTAATGAGTACATTTCTTATCAAGCATTGTTGCCTCCTCCTTTGTTTTTCCCTAACCATCCCTTGCCCTCCCATCCAGGCAAAGTTGTAAAGTTAGGTTTTCGACCTAGCATCTTGTACATTTTATTGTGCAATAGGTCCACCTGTATCCCTTGTTATAGCCATTCTAACTGGGGTAAGGTAGAATCTCAATGTTGTTTTGATTTGCATTTTTTTTTATGGATAGAGAGGTTGAGTATGTCTTCATTAGCCATTCTTATTTCTCTTCAGTTTCTCTTTAAGTCTTTAGCCCATTTGTTACATATGTAAACTTAATTACACACATACATATACTAAAAAGAGAGACAGAAGGAGGTATGCTTGGAGAAGAGACAGAGACAGAAGGAAAGAATAGAAGAGGGAATAAACAGAAAATAGCGAGGCCACATCCTCTTACAGTACCATGAATGACAGATGTTGATGTCAAACTGAACAGTGATTTGGTAATAGCGAACAACTGATCAGAAATACATTATTCCCTTATTGGTTTCCTTTGAGCTCTAGGTAAGCTGTTGGCATAAGTATTTACAAACTCCAAAATACGGATTTAAAGTACAACCACTGCCCACTTAGCTGTGCTTTATTACTTAATGGTAGAGTGCTAGCCTTGAATAAAAGAGATCATAGCCAGAGCTCAGGCCTTGAATTCAAGTCCAACGACTGACTAAAAAAAAAAAAAATAAAGAGCCACGGGTACAATTACACGATTTCTTCCAAGAGACATTTATCCTTTTACCAAGATAAATTTTCCTTCTCAGAAAGACACTTGCCTACCTTCATGGGCCCTAAACACTAAGGATTGTCCTTACCGCATGTTTGTATTAATAAATAACATAATGGAGGGACTGGCTTTGGTCTGGCTTTTCTACCCTTCTTGGCAGCCTTGGGCACCTATTTTGAGTCATTTTCCCTAGGGCAGTGTCATCATCCTGGATTGAGCTTATCATTACCTTTGAGAAGGCTGTTTTCAGTCTATTTTATAAAGGAGTCACACCAGTTCCAGTTAAAAGTAGATCCCAATGGTTATATTATACAAGCTGGGAGGTTTTAAAGGGCTGTGACATCCTCACATGGGACAATGCCTGCCTACCAAGTACAGAGCCTTAAGATCAAACTTTATTATCACCAAAAAGAAATGAAAAAAGAACAAAAGCCTTCATTAGTTTCTTTTTCTCATAACCAATGGTGATTCCTTCGACAGTAATAAGGGTCTCCTTGCTTAGTTTAATTGTTACATGGATAAAGTCCACAGTGTCATCAGGAAGCAGCTGCAGCAGCAAAAGTATGAGAGTGAAGGGTCTGCATGGTGGACACATCACCTGACTCGGATTCTTCCTAAGTTTGGCCTTTTTTAAGGGACAATGTTGGAGACAAGGTCTCACTAAGTAGCCCAGGTTGGCCTTCAGTTTCAGACCTGCTTTGCTGGGATTATACACCTGCAGCATCACACTTGGCATGACTGTGCTTTCTTAAAAACTTTGTACATGACAAACTGTGTACATGTCTACACAGGCATTGATTTCCACAGAATACAACTAATATACCTTAGCTATAAAATCTGTGAAATCAGAGTGGAGATTTTTTTTTTCACACTGGAATTTTATGAAAACAAATCTTATGAGACCTTCATTAATACTGTTCTAAAATTTTTATTATATGTATAATTAAATAAATTTACATGGGAGAAAATTATAAGTCAAAACAAAAGGCGCATAAGAAATTGGGTCCCCATACGGTCATCATCCTGTTAAAAAATCACCAGTTAAGACTGGAGGTATAGGGGGCTTGTGGTTTATGCCAGTATTCCTAGATACTCAGATGGGAAAGCCCATAAGACTCTTATCATCAATCAGCTACCCCCAAATAAAGCCAGAAGTGGAGCTGTAGTTCAAGTGGTACAGTGCTAGACTTGAAGAAGAAGTTTAGAGGCAGAGCTCAGGCCCTGAGTTCAAGCCCCAGCACCAGCATGCATGTACACACACACACACACACACATACAACTGGAGTCATGGCTTAAGCTGTAGAGCACCTTCCTGCCAAGTATAATTCTTAGAGTTCAAACTCCAGTACCAAAACAAAATATACCCACAATACAATCAAATTTATTCTGCCAACTTACTTTTGAAATGGAATCTAAGCTTCCTCTACAAATAAAAAAATAGATCCTTCCTTCCTTCCTTCCTTCCTTCCTTCCTTCCTTCCTTCCTTCCTTCCTTCCTTTCTTCCTTCCTCCTTCCTTCCTCTTTCTCTTTCTTCTTTCTCTCTTCTTTTCTTTGCTTTTCTTTCCTGGTACCAAGGTTTAAACTCAGACCTTTAATTTGCTCAACTTGCTAGCTTGATTGGTGCTCAGCTACTTGAACCACGCCCCAATCTGATAAATTGGGATGGAGTCTCATGAACTATTCTGCTTGGGTTGACAAGCAGCCTTGATCCTCTGAATGTCAGGCTCCTGAGTAGCTAGTTTTAAGAGCGAGAGTCACAGGTGCCTAGCCTGATTTTCCAATTAGTAGCTAGTCTTAGTTGCAGGCTTTGGATGCTGGCTTCTTGTTCTCTGCTGTTGATGCAGATACATGTAGCAGAAGATATGAATCAGTTTAATGCCTTTCTAACTTT